CAGCAAGTGTCGAGTCAGAACCTGCCAAGTCACGGGGAAATGGATGTGCCCAGGAAACGAATCTCGGTTGGTCACAGTCTCGGTTGTAGTTCAATTCTCGCATTAGTGGTAGGGGGCTAGCAAGTACAAGGGGTATGTCCCAACTAGTGCTAATCCGAGAGAACCTCGGTAAACCACGATTTAGGAGAAACATAGGGAAAGTATAGAAATTCCAGGGAATACGAAAAATAGGTGAAATAAGAAACTAGGGGAAACATAGGACTAAAAGAGAGAGAAAATAGAGGAACAATAGGAATAAAATACTGGGAAATAGGAATAACATAGCGAAAACGTAGGCTACGTAGGAAAGCAACACAAATAATAATAATAATAATAATACTAATAATCACATAGCGAAAACATAGGATATGTAGGGAAAACACTAGGAACAACAGGCAAAACGCAGGCCCACAGGGTAGAAACGGGCGCGGGAAGAGCAGGCCGGGGTCGTTTTGTTTTTTTCGATGGGTCTCCTATGCTTCTCCTATTTCTATTTCAGAAAAACCCGGATTCCTATCTGTTCTTTTTGTTATCCTATCTTGGGCCATTTGCGATGGTAAGAGTGTGTTTGTTTTTGCTGTCGTTGCAGGGGCGCCTTTTTTTTGCTGTGGTTGCGGTCGCCCCGGCACTCTTTTTTGGTGGTGGTGGGTGGGATGGGGAGGGTTCTCTGTACCTCCATAGCAAAACTCTCTATTTTCGCTGAGCTTTATGAGATAACTTCTATTTTCTTCATATTTTAATCGCAAAAACCTTCTATTTCTGTACATCGTATTTCGGAAACATCTATTTTCTCATAGGCAAACAAACCCTAGTTTCCGAATTTGTAATTTCTTCATGTTGAGTAGAGTAGATTTCCATACTTTCATAGGATAACCCGTATTATCGAATGTTTTTCATGAGCGGGGGGGGGGGTTTACAGGGGGCGCAGCTAACAGAACGATCGCATGATGGGTTTCTCATATACTTTAAAGCAAGCTGGCACGGCATTATAGCAGCGCGGGGTTTGCACGGCTCACAAAAACGCGGGGGTTGGGGGGGCGAAGCCCCCTCCCCATTTGCAAACACAATGCTCGCATGATGGGTGTCAAAAAAAGCATATGCTGTCAAGCAAGCTAGCACGGGCGCAGCCTCCCCCCCATTTGCAAACACAATCCTCGCATGATAGGTTTCGACAAAGAATCATATGCGTCGAAGCAAGCTTGCACGGCTCAGAAACATGGGAGCGGGTCGCAGCCGACAATTGCAAACAGAATGCTCGCATGGTGGGTTTCAAAGCGACTGCTTTGAAGCAAGCTTGCACGGCTCGGAATTTGGGGGGTTGGGGGTTTGCATCATCGGCTTCAAAAAGACTCATATGCTCTGAAGCAAGCTTGCATGGCTTGCCCCGCAACTCTGTCTTTCTTGATTTACTTCGTTCGTTATTGAAACTAGTGTCTTGGTGTTGTTCTCTCTTTCTCTCTGTATTTCGTTGTTTGACCATTTCATTTAATTCCTTCTTTCGTTCTGTGCCATACCTTCTCCTTCAATTCCCATGAAAACGATGATGAAATAAACGTTTCTACTAGACACCGATGAATTACTCCGAAAGCAATAAGTCCGCGTTCTCAAGGAACATGTATTTGGCCGTGTGTATGTGTGACTGCATCTCGTAGTTTCTTTCTCGGGGTAGGTTTGGGATAGCTTTGGAACCATGTACATGGATCGTGCACGTCGAAGCGGCAGATTTCTCGACATCAACCATGGCGGGGCAACTCTCTGAAGCCAACTTGTAGCCGATTTAAATTGTTTCTGAGCCCGGGATACGTTATTTAACGAAGAAATAATGTTCACAATTTTTTCGCTAGCGAATATTAGTATAATAACTCATATTATTGGAAATATTAATAATATGGGTATTATGATCATTGCCAGTACTATTATAGGGATTACTAATAATTACTTTAATTGCTGGTAGTGCCATGCTAATATTATGGTACTCTTACAAGTAATACTACTGCTATTATTACTATCCTAACTATTGCTACTATTATTACAATAAATCCTACGACTGCTATTACTCCAAGTATTAATTGCGATGAATACTAATATTTTATTGTTACTGTTATTACTAATTGCGATTATCGCTATTAATACTGTTATAACTACTATTATTATGACTACTATTACTATTATTATGGGGCCGTGTCTTTTTTGCTGTCGTTCCCGGGGCTGTCGTTGCAGCGGCGCGTTTATTTTTTGTTGCTGTCGTTCCCGGGGCGCGTTATTTTGGCAGTCCTTGCGGGAGTGCGTTTTTTTGCTGTCGTCCCCGGCCCGGGGCGCGTTTTGTTGTTGCTGTCGTTGCGGGTTGCGGGGGCGCGTCTTTTCTTGCTGTCGTCCCCGAAGCTGGTCGTTCTCGGGGCGCGTTTGTTTTCTTTGCTGTCGTCCCCGTTTGTTTGTTGCTGTCGTCCCCGGGGCGCGTTTTCTTTTTTGCTGTCGTCCCCGGGAGTGTTGCTTCTGCTGTCGTTGCGGGGGCACGTTTTATTGCGTTGCTCTCGTGTCGGGGGGCCGGGGTTCGCTCACTCACTGGCTTCCTGGGTTCGCTCACAGACAACAAAAACCAACATTAAGCAACTGCAGCAAAAAAAGATGGGATCCGCCATTTGCGATCTGACTAGAATTAGCACAAGAGCCGGACATAAATGTAGAGGTCCGTACACGTTTGCACATGCACATTTTCGAATAAGGTGTTTGCCCTATTTGGTTTCACAACAACCCTTCAGCACAAAACTCGCATCAGCGAGATGCAGCATTCTTGCACCGTCAAGGTGAGAAAATGCGCAAACTCGCAGCGCTCACACTCACACATTATGCTTAAACGAAACGGTGAGGTTTGCCTGCACGTGCCCAAGGCAGGAGTGCACTGCCGCGAGCTCCGCGGCATCGGGAAGAACGGATCTGCAAGACGTTCGAAGCTGAAAAGAAGCTTGAGGCAGGTTCGTGGTATGGTCGCTTCTTCTGTGGGAGCACACCACTACCCCAAACACAAGCTTCCCGACGATTGCCTGTCATTCCTTGAGCATTGTATCGGTGCCCGTCATTGTTTGCGCAGCCACGCATTCTTTGCGCAGTGCATTGGTAGCGAGGACTGTAGACAAGATAGGTCATGCGGCCGAGAGTAGCAGCTTCTTTGCACACACAAGGGCCAGAAGCTACTGAACTACAAGCTTGCAGTATCAGTTACAGTTGCACTCCGGCTATGGGGTTTAATCGGTCCAAGAACCATCTCTCCGTTATAGCGTGTACGGTGTTTACGGAGTACAGGGTTGAGTCTTGCAGAGTCTTGCTCTTGGACCACTCGGAAGGCGGAAACTCTCTGCCTGAACTTCGGCGCATGTCGCGAGTTCCTAGTAAAAGTTGGATGTCAAACCCCTCCAAGGCTGGTAATGCCCTATTTAGATGCGGGTTGAGACTTGGGGCTTTCGGTTGGACGGAGGAATCTTAGGCAAGCCAACAACAAATTCTGACAGCGGTCTGACACTATTAGACCGACTCTTGCACGCCGAGCCGCAGTAGCAGCCCACGCAAGGGCCCGTTGCTGACAGCTCCGGCTTCCGTGCTTAGCTTCGAGGCAACAGCCCCGCCGACCTCGCACGAGTAGTTGTGTCTCAAGAGACTCTAGGCAAGCAAGTCCCTCTTCTTTTCTCATCGGGGTCCCCTATCCAGAGCCATATCCATGACTTCTCTGACTCCTCCCTAAGCTGTGGGTCTGGTACGATGGGAGCTCAAGCGCAGGGAAGGTGTCACACATCTTCTTAATATTTGAGAGTGGGACGCCTTGGGGCCCCCATATTTACAGCATTTTCGTATGCTTCATAGCGAAAACTCACTTTTCAAAAAGAAGGGTGGTGCAACACTTGTAAATGCCTCAACTCCAAATTAACTCGTATTGAGTCGGATTCCATCATTCCATATACTAGATATTTATCCTTGCCAGCGTTTTGGCAGCAATCGTTCGAAAGCATGAGTAGACTGAGCTATGTTAATAACGCATTTCTGTAATATTCTGGGCATGGCTATCATAAGATTTGGTGATAAAGGCCGCTGATAGTTGTGTCATGTACGTAAATGCTGAGTACCCACAACCCCTACAAGGACCGACCTCGCCCTAGACCCATGTACAAAGCCCCAAGCCCTGGAGTGCTTGCATCCTGCGCCCCAAGCCTTGGCTGCCATGACCTCACCGGTGCAGGCACGTTTCCTCTTCCTTCTCCTTGGTGCCATTCTGAAACAGTCTGAACCTACATGTCCGTATTCTCAACAGTGCATGGTCAATGGTATGATTCCGGACGCTACATTGTTCCTAAAACAGTGGGCTCTTCTTGTGGTAAGCTTTGGCAACTAGACAAAACTGCGCGTTGGGCCATGCGGAAATCCTTGGCCGGGCTTGATGCCACATACTTCCGCAACTCACCGTGGGCGTAGAACATAGACCGGCATTGTCAAACGGGTCAAGTCCGTCACGCGCAGCCGATGCAAATCTCGACACGTAAGAGAAGATGCTACACGGGACGATGCGGGCATGGGCAGGTGCCTGTGCTTCCAGCAATCGAGGCTCTTCTTGCCAGGGCCATCAGCTGCAAAGAGCTTTTCTTGCATGGCGGAGCCAGCCGACTGGCGGATAAAGTGAAAGCAAGCCTGCGGATTGAACCAAGAAGTCAGACATCGCCACACCTCTAGTCTCGAGTGCATTGCGAGCTAAAGTGTTTTGGGAGACCCGAACGAGAAAGCCGAGAGAAGTGGAAGGGGTGTCTCGAGACGTTACCAGGCCCGAAGATGAGCATGCGGTGATCCCGTTGAAGCAACCGGGCTATTTGCTTTGCCGTCCCTCACGCACTGTCCTGGGGCCCCGAGGCAAGACATACCCAGCTAGTTCGCTGCCACTCCCAGCCGAGTGATCTGGCATTCAGCAACAAGTCCCGCACCCAAGCTCTCGGGTCGGTCTGGCCGGAGGAACCTCACCTTCAGATTCATGCGATGTCACGGCTCTAGTTTGAGCAACTTATGCACGCAAACACCATGTGTATGTATATATGTATACATATGTATGCAATGTATGCAATGTATGTGATGTATGGTATGTATGTATGTATGTATGTATGTATGCATCCATGTAACAACATGTATGTATGTAGGTATGTGTATGTCGGATATGTTGGTTACGCTCACAGCAGCCGTGCTTGTCCCACCTGGTGCGGACCCTTATTGGACCACAAGATGCCAGCTTCTTTGCGATGTCGGGTGGTTGTCCAAAGCATTTGAGGCGGCGAGCCCCAAAATAATTCACCATCCCCTGGACTTTTCTTAGTCTGTGGGCTCGCAGAGACCGTCATTTTTCTTTGTGAACAGAGCTGCTCTCACACTCGCGCTGAATATGGAGGAGCGCCACGGCCTTGATTGCGTCCCCGGGCTGGTGTTCATCCAAGACCGCGAAGATGTCGTTCCTTGGGCCAGGTTGAGTAGAAAGCTACTCTTAAATGTGGACCAAATGATGGGACCGTCGTTGCGGGATCCAAAGCAAAGATCCGAAGTTTCACAATACGGGCAATGTTATCAAAGCCTTGTAGGGCCGCCACACCGTGGAGATGTTCCGCTCGTCGATTTTCAGGATGATGTCTCCTGGTTTCAAGCCTGCCTGGCACGGACAAACACTGGCTAAAACAACCTTCGCCAGCCCGCATTCCTGTCTCTACCGCCTTGGCTTCCAAACCCGTTAACACTCAGCTTCTTTTTACTTTCACTACGACTAGACTATAGAGACAAATGCCGGACCTCAGCGGCTGCGCTGCTACGCTGCAGCCCCGAGATGAGTCCGCCGGGTCGTCCTCCCCGAGATTTGGGGGGACCCAAACCCGAGCATAATAGGTGACGGTTGAAGCTTCATGTTCGAGGGCCTGCACTGGAGACCTAGGGACGGTCCAGCAAGCCGAGCTGCAAGACTTGTGGCTGGACAATCATTGATTCTCTGTGCGCGAGGGGCACAACGCGCAAGCGCGAACAATGCAAGAAATGGCAAGGACACGACTCACGGACATCATGTTGCCTGCCTGAAAGCCTCTGTGCCAGACCATCCTGGCAGGTCGAGTTTTCACGGGTTTGGTTTTAAAAATTCTGGGGAGGACACCGCGTGGCGGCTCTTGCTCAGTATCCCCTGGTCTCAAGACAGAAGATTCCATTTGTTTGAAGCAGTCGACTTGGTGGATGCCAGCACGCACCACGAGTGTACAGGCATGAAACGAAAGTACTTGGCATCACTAAAAGATGACTTGGAGTCGCAAATGCATCAGTTACGACTTCAAGCTGCATTACATAGCCAGTAGACTGACAGAAGATTCCTTCGAGGTTGATTTGAGGAAAGATCTCTTGACAAATTGCACAAAGTTAAACAACATGTGGAAGATGTGGCACAAGATGCCGCCAACACATGAACGTGCAAGTCGCCTTCAACCCACAAAAGCTCCTAGACCGCAAGCCCTCACCAAACCATTCACCCCGATTGCAGACTGTTGACTGGCTGACTAACCCGCCGAAATCTGGAAACATGGATTGAACAGACCAGTGCAACGCAAACAACATTGTAACCTCCACAAGCCACCCTAAGCAACCAGTCAAAATGCCCACCTTAGATTGCTGTTGAACTACTGCGGTTCAAAACGATCAATCGCAAGAGGACTTTACAGCTAGCGCTTACGATGACCATGTCATGTCGGCGCATCGGCCGAAGCCACCGTGCACGAGCAATACTTCTTTAACAGTGTGAACACCGGCATGAATGCACATGTAAACTACGTTAACATACACATCATAAATAGATACATACATACATGCATGCATACATACATGCATACCTCGGTGTGTATGCACATCTGTATATTAGTGTATATTTGAAGAAACTGCTTGTTCATGTCCCGTTGATTTATCCAGTCCTTTGTCGAGTCTACTAGTAGCTGCTACTGTGCTCATACACAAACAGGGATGCCCCAAGCGAGCCTGGCCCAAAAACAGACCCAGGCTGGGCCTCACAGAGCAGCGACGGGGGGGGGGGGGGGGGG